CACGAAATCTGCACATGGAGGTTCACAAAGTGCTGTGCCTGCCACGACATCTGCACATGGAGGTTCACAAAGTGCTGCACCTGCCACGAAATCTGTACATGGAGGTTCACAAAGTGCTGTGCCTGCCACGAAATCTCCACATGGAGGTTCACAAAGTGCTGCGCCTGCCACGAAATCTGTGCATGGAGGTTCACAAAGTGCGGCGCCTGCTACGAAATCTGCACATGGAGGTTCACAAAGTGCTGCGTTTGCCAGGAAATCTGCACCTGGAGGTTCACAAAGTGCTGCACCGGCCACGAAATCTGCACATGGAGGTTCACAAAGTGCTGTGCCGCACCTGCCACGAAATTTGCACATGAGGGTTCACAAAGTGCTGCGCCTGCCACGAAATCTGCACCTCGAAGTTCACAAAGTGCTGCACCTGCCACGAAATCTGCACATGCAGGTTCACAAAGTGCTGGGCCTAGCACGAAATCTGCACTTCAAGAGACAAGTGAAAACTCTAACCACAATGGAGGGACGATTCGAGCATGATCCGACCATGACCCGAGACCGTCTCGCAACCGTCGTTCCGCAGAGCTAGACTTGCCAGGTTCGAAGCCACCGGTTCTATTGAAAAATACAGCATCTCGTGCGTCCGCTATCTCTCGAAAACGCATTTTGTATTGCGCCTGCCACGAAATCTGCACATGGAGGTTCACAAAGTGCTGCACCTGCCACGAAATCTGCACATGGAGGTTCACAAAGTGTTGTGCCTGCCACGAAATCTGTACATGGAGGTTCACAAAGCGCTGCACCTGCCACGAAATCTGCACATGGAGGTTCACAAAGTGCTGTGCCTGCCACGAAAAAACCAATGTCATGGAACTTGGTTGTTTCATGGAACTTGGCTTTTGCCATTTTGCTCGGCAACTCTAACTTGGGAAAAGCCTTACTTTGCCTGACACTAAGGCAGCTTTTTGCAATCCTGACTTGGGCAGGCTTATGATTGGCAAACCAATCCTGACACTAAGGCAGCTTTTTGCAATCCTGACTTGTTGCAGGCTTGTGATTGGCCAACCAATCCTGACACTAAGGCAGCTTTTTGCAATCCTGACTTGTTGCAGGCTTGTGATTGGCCAACCAATCCTGACAATCCTGACTTGGGCAGGTTTGGAAATTGACAAACCACTAGGTGTGAGAACCTTGACTTGGCATTTGCGAGTGTACAAAATTAATTAATCCAAGTGGGGCCTAGGCCTAGTATCTTTCCGTAACTCGGAAGTTTCATTCAGAAGATTCATTTTGGGTTTGGTTTTGTTTTTTGCCGTGGAAATTATTCAGAAGTTTTGGAATTGCCAGCTGTCAGTTTCCACTTTGAAAGCTTTGGGTCACATGCAGCGACGCCGTGGGCCAGCGAGTCCTCAGTGATAGGGTCTCAAGCCGCTGGGTTTTCCAATGGCGTTCAAGCGGCCAGCGTCTAGTGCTAATATGCGGCGTCCTGCAGCCAAGCGGCCTGCGATTTCAGATGATGCGCCGGCAAAGTCTCCCTCGGTTTTTGAAGAGTCAGAAGAAGAAACTGCGCGGATGTTTGGTTGCCTTCAGATTCAAACTTTTTGTTTCCTGGTTTTTAGGCAGAGAAATTGATCAAACCCACTGTGGGTTAATCTGTCGCGAAAGGAGTGGAGAGGAACATGGTGAATCTGAAGTATTCGCTGGTTCAGACGACGACGATGATGAGGGCGTCGAACTCCCTGCGCCTCCAGAGATCTCGAGCATCGGGGTCCCTGGTCCGATTTGATCATACCAACGAAGTTTGTGGTTGTTTCCAGGACATGTTTATTTGATGTAACGGTAGTAGATTCAGGGATGTACTGTGGGTAGATTGTTTTTCAGGTGGACAACATGCTGCATGCGCATTTACTTCGGAATCCAGACTGCGTTGACCGCCTGGTTGAGAAACTGGAGATCCTGAGCCGAGAGTCGGGCGAGATCACAGCAGGCTCAATATGCAGTGGATGGGGCGTTGCCGAGATGGTCTGCAATGCCTTGAACTCGGCTTTGGCTCGTTTGGCGAAGAAGAGAGATCCTCCGAAGGCAGGGCTTACCAGAGGGGGGCTCGAGCAAATCTGGGCGCTGTTAGTGTTTGAAAATTGAACCCTTCGATTTCATTTCTTGCGATCACAGGTCTGTCTAGGCAACATTTTTGGGGTTCCTGTGATTGGGGTATGTTGACACGAGGGTTTTAGTTTGACCGATGGCTCAGCAGCTCAAATGACTTGGTCGGTCATGCGCAGTCGGGGCAGTCTTGGTAGTCAAGGCAGGCAGGTTCTTTAAATAGCAGAGAAACCTCTGGTTTCTGGGGTTGCTCCTGGGTGCCATGGATGAGTCGAAAACAAAAGGCGGTTCCCCTCCGCGAGCTTGTGCAGCGGCAATGCCGATGCAGCAAGCGAGATTGTCTCAGCCAATTTGCAGCTGATGTTAAACTGGTGGAAGCCAAGAGGGCAGAGTTTCGAGATTTGCCAACAGCCAAGAGAGAGATTTGTTTTTTTTGATGAAGACTTTTAATTTTTGTTTGCTAGGTCGCAGGCTCTTCTTGCATAGTTAATGACATCAACAGAGTTCTTTCGTGACATCAACAGAGTTCTTTGTTTGAGGAAGTGTGGTTGACAGCGGCCTTTCATTGTCCCACAGCCTTTTCGGGCGCAAGTGCTGCGTCCTCAAAGGATGAGATTGCTCTGGGCAGTGAGGCTGAGATTATGTACGCTTCAGATGATGACGAAGTCTTCTTCGAGTCAGACGCTGACGAAAATGGATCAGTTTTTGCTTCCACTGCAACTGATGAGTGTGGCCATCAGACAGCAAAGAGAAGGAAGTATACCCAGAGGACTTCAGAATCATTTCAGTTTTTGGGACGGGATGTATGCTTTGCTGCCTTGAGCCGATTGGTTGGTGTTGGATCCTCAACCTTGCAGAAGATCCGGCAAGGTTTGCCAACGTTCACGAACTGCGCAAGGCCAAGTTTACCTAAGCATCCACAGTACGGGTTCACCATGCGAGGTGAAGGCCAAGCGACATGGGAATCTGTTCTGAGTTTCCTTTGGGAAATCTACCACTCGACAGCTGAAGTCTTACCAAACAGATACGCCATGCCAGGTCAAGATGTGGAACCTCCATTCCCTGATGCTGACAGTACAGAGATCGACCGCATTGTGGAAGGGTTCAGCCGGACAGTCCAAGTTTCTTCCAACGATGCCAACTTGCTCTTGACAGGGCCAGGGACATTTTCTGGCCCTGTTCGGATGCTGCCTTATGGAACGAGAACTGAGCTGTTCTGGCAGTACGTTGCAGCTTGCGAGGCCAAGGGCGTGGCAGCGGGCTCATACTCCACCTTCATGCGTGTAGCCGGCGCGGTGATGCGCCCAAACAAATCTGGTGGGTTTTTGAAATTTAGAAAAAGCAGCGAACACACACAGTGCGACACGTGCTGGAAGCTTCGAAACAGAGTTGCAGAGGCAACGTCTATGTCTGAGAGGGCAGCTGCCAGGAAGGAGCACCACAGGCACATTCTGTCGCAGTGGAGAGACCGGCAGTGCTATTGGAATCACAGATCGATTTCCCATTCTGCTTTCAATTCTGCATTGCACAATGGCCGGTGCCATGGCAAGATAGAGAGAAATGTTTTTCTAGTTTTTTTCTCTCGAAGTTTTCCTTACGGATTTTCCAATTTGTCCTGCATGGCTCAATGATGCAGGTCTGGATTCTCAACACTTCCTCCTTCAACGAGCCTGTTGACTGTCATAGCAGATGGCATGGACCAGGCCAAATACAAAGTCCCGAGGGTCCGGACCCGAAAAACTAAACTTTTCTCAAAGATGTTTCGTCCATCACTCCATTGTGCTTGCGCATGGGCCCATGGAGCCTTAATGCAGTTTTCGATTGCTGACCAATGCCAGAAGAAAGACAGTGCTTGCCAAATGGAGATAGTATCCAGAGTGATCGATGCTGTGTTTCTTCGCTACAATGACCTGCCTGCTGGCTTGGTGTGCCAGCAGGACAACACCACTCGAGAGGCCAAGAACCAATTTTTCTGCGCATACCTATGTTTGTTGTGCGGGCTTGGCGTGTTTAGATTCACAATGGCATGCTTCTTGAGACCAGGGCATAGATCCTTGTTTGAGTCCCAGCGTTCATTGTTTTTTTGTTTTTGTGTTTGTTCAGAAGGGTGGTAGTGGAAAGTGGAATGTTGCAAATCACATATCTTGGAATTTGCGAGGTCATGAAGACATCGACCAAGTCTTCTCGCAGCAGGCAGCAGTCCTCAGCAGAACTGAGTTTTCTACTCCAGAGGAAGTGGTGGCCATGATTGATTCAACATTTCGCCCCCAATCAGCCGCTGCTGCGCTTCGCGAGAAATCCAAGCCTTCAAAAGTTGAGATTGCAGCTTACAAATTGGACGAGGTTGCAGATTGGAGAGCCTGGGTGAAAGCGCTGGGCGTTCGTTTGGTGGGTTTGCGAAACTCTGTGTTCAGGATTCAGGATCACATTTTTGTTTTTTATTTTCTATTTTGAGTCATGTGCAATTTGGGGGAGACTGCTACTCTTGTTGTCTAGCTTTGAGATCTGCCTGCGTCGAGGATTTGCTGGCCAGCTTCGTTTTTGCTTGCGGCAGGATGCAGATCCTTCTTCGTATGGCCGCTGTGAAGTTGAAGAAGCCCCGGGCATGATACCACACCCTGGAGATGTTTTGCTTTTTGTGAAGAGACACATGGCAGACGAAGAGCCAACAGCTATTTTTGCTGTTATGCCAGCAGCTGTTTGCGTGCAACTTCGTTCCAGCTTCCAGCAGCCCACTGGAGTTTGCCCAAGGCGAGCAATTGCTGAGCCAGTGCGCAAGAACATTCAGACTTATGCGCCTCAATGCACGAAACAAGGAATCATATCCAAGGATGCGCAAGTGTATCTCCTTGGTTGGATTGACCAGTCCTTGCCGCGAGTTCCCAGGCCAAAGGCCTATCCATTTCTGAATTTGAGAAGGCATGCGGCTATCGTAGAGGATTTTGTGCCCCATCGAGAATGGGCTGCTCCTCGTCGAGCCCGTGTCATTCAAGTGCTGCCAGCAGAAGCTGTCAGTTCTGAAGATGAACAGGATGATGGTGCCATTGTTTTTGATGGCTGAGAGAGGAAACAGGTTGTCAAACTTAAGGTGCCATTTGAGTGCTAGCGTCACCTGTGGCAGGTGGTGATGAAGTTCATGTGCGAGTGCGACTATGTCAAGCAGAAGTACCTTGCTCAGGCCTTTGATGGTGGAGCGCCCATTTTCACGAACATGGTGGATCTTGGATCTGGATGGGCCCAGGAGTTCAGGACGAATGCAACAAAGCCAGTGCCCAAGGTTTCTCAGCGTGATTTTGGATGCTTCACCAATTTTCAACTTTCTGCAAGGCTTTCAATTGTTCACTGTTAGAATAGAGAATGGTTTCTGGGTGTTGACGAAGACACTTTGTTCCAGGTTGACATCATCTTGGTTGGCTACCCCTGCAAATCGATCTCGAGTCAGAACTCAAAGCCCATGTCCTTTGTTGACCCCAAGAGTATCACAGGATTGGGCTACCGGTCACTCCTCAAATACATTGACTACCACCAACCAGAATTGGTGGTTGCTGAGAACGTCGGCACGTTAGTCAAGAAGAGGGCCATTGATGGCGGGCGTTCTCCAATTCAGATCCAGGAGCAGGCATTTGCCCAGCGTGGTTTTGAGGCCTTCCATGATGTTTGCGATAGCTCTCATTTTGGCCTTCGCCAAACTCGCCAAAGGTGCTGGGCTCTTTACATTCGTGGGAATGGGTTTGGGACACTGGGGCCAAATTAATTTGTTTTGCTGTTGTAGGCGGTGTTTTTTTTCTAGCTGCGAAAAACACATGTTGTTGAGCGCGCCATGGATGACTTACTTCTAAGGAGGGGTGACTTCTACGAGGATGACAACCCCCACAACTTTGTGGACAAGTTCAGGTGCAGTTCATACCCAATGTCCTTCTTTTTGATGCCTGTGGCCGATGGACCAGAAGGCGCTCGCTACAAGCCTCGCAAGGCAAAGCGCCCTGAGGGACAGAAGAAGTTCAAGTGGCAGGATCGTTTTGAGGAGCTGTGTGCTGAGTTGGGCACTGTACTCTAGCTTATGATTGGCGTTTTACTGTATTCCTTTTTGCAGGTTTGTGGTTCTTTCTTTAAGCCACCAATTCACACATTTAGCGCCTGTAGATGCCACGCCCTTTCTCAGGCAAAGTGCAAAGCCATGATGGCCAAGATTCGTGGCTTCGGTGTGCCCTTGACAGAACGGGAGCTGGCAATTCTCACCATCTCCTTGATCAGGCTCCAATTGAGGGGACGCAGGCCATTCGAAGAATCCATCTACGTGCAGGTGGATTCTTGTCGACGCGACAAAACAACTCTGTTTTGGTAAGCTTTTGATGCTGGCTTCAACTGCAGTGGTTGTTATGTTGTTGTTGCCTTGTGAGTTCCATGCAAATAAGGCTCCTCACAGTGTAGGGTGCCAGGGTACCTCTTGAAATATTTGGTGGAATGTTTGTTTTCACGGATGGAGGGTTACCATGGTTGGCGGGTGTTGTTTTTTCTTGGTGTTGAAATTGAAACCTATCAGACCTGTCGTTCAGGACCAGAACTTCGATCGCGCAACCTTCTCAAAGCGGGACGCCCAGCTTTGCCCATGTTTGCTCCCTGCCGGAAAGTACATCATTACTGGCACGCATGGGGTCCGGCTGCTTTCAACAGAGGAGACAGACATGCATGTTGAAAGCAAAAAAACATCAAGTCTGTTCGCACCAAAAACACGGGGTGAGTGTAACTCTCCAGGAGAAGATGTTTCTCCAAGGCGTTGGGTTGGAGGAGTATAGCAAGTATGGCATGCGAACACTTTCCTTGCCAGCATTGAGTTCGATGGTGGGAAACGCGCAGAGTGCTGAGCTTTTCTTTCCTACGTTTAGTTCTTGGAGCTACTACCCTAAGGCCCCGTTAAGCCCTGTACACTTCAGAATCCAGTTCCTAGGTTTTCAGCGCCAGTGTGCGCTGCCTGGTTGGTGGCTGGCTTGGCATGCTGGAGACCTGCGATGTGCAGTGAGTTTGAATGATTAGAGTCATCATTGAGTATAGCCAAATGCTGGTTGCTCTGTGGTAGTTAGAATGCCCGCAGCATGGACCATATAATTCCATGCAATTCGTTAGGTGTGGCACTAGTGTAAGTGCAATTCGTTAGGTGTGGCACTAGTGTAAGAGCAGTATCATACCTTTTGGCATGTGTTCTAAATTCTGCTAAGTTCAAAGTGCATAGGAGGCTGTGATTTGTAGTTTTTGCTCTTCAATGCCTGCATCGTTCCGCGTAGCCTTAGCCGCGGTGCTTTTGACAAGCTTCAGGGGCGTCAGAAAGTTGCAGCTAGTTGTCAGTCAGTGCGCTGCTGTAGGTCAGGCAGTGCAGTGTGCACATTCGAGTTCATTTGAGTTGATGCGCTTGCTGTGTCCAACTCAAAACACTCAGAGGCAGGCACAGTTCAACGAATGCAACATGTCATATGTCAGGTTTTTTTTGTGTTTCATTGTCCATATGGTGTGTGAAATTGGCTAGATTTGTTTTAGTGCCCATGCCTCCTGCTCGAAAGCGGATGCGCACAGCCGGCGCTGTCGCTCAGAACATTGCAGCCGGCAGCGATACCCAAGTTTTGCTTTCGACTGCCAGTGACACTCCGAAGTTGCAACGAGATTGCCTCTCTATCTTGGAATCCGTCTACCAGCTCAGGCACTTCAAAGCCTCTGATGTGCACTCGAGCGATTGCGGGCTGTTGAAGGTTGAATCCGGTCTCTACCCATGGCCCATCCTGTGGGGTGGGACATTTAAAGAAATCGCCCAGAGGTGCTGGGAAAGTCCTGATCGAGTGATTGAAGAAAGCGCTGCGCTAGCTGCGCGAGTTGGCCTTCTGGATGCAAAGGACCCAGACGAATTTGTCCGTGAATTCTGCAAAGTGGACGCTTCTCAACTTTGCTTTGGGCACTTTGTTTTGTTCTCCCCTTTCTTGTGCAATGATTGTTGCTGCCCCACAAGAAGTTCGTTGGGAGTTTTCATACTGATGCAGGAGAGTTCACAAACACATTGATTAACAAATGCCACCACTCTTTTCTTGCATTTCAAGTTGTTGGCTAGGCTTGGCCACCTGAGCCCGGTGAAGCTTTCTGGACCTCTGTCACCTCCTGGAGCTTCAGCGACCAATCCTTCTGGCGCGGCAAAGCCATAGCAATGTCGGAGGTCATGACCTTTGCCCGCTCCATCGCATCAAGCCGTTTTCGTGAGGTGGGGGGGTCTGCTTTTGGGAGGGTTTGGGTTAGGCCAAGATCCCACTGTTGGCAATGCCATGAAACTCCTCAATGTGGAAATTTGCCAGTTGGCGAGGGTTGGTTTTGGCGAGGGTCTCTGTTTTGGCGAGGGTCCCAAGTTTTGGCGAGGCCCCAAAATTTGGCGAGGGTATATGTTTGGCGAGGATCTCCTAGAGTCCCTCTCCACAAGTTTGGCCTTCGCGGGGTGCGTTGCTTTTCGAAAATTGAAAAATGTCAAAAAAAAATTCGCGAGAGTTTAGTTACCCCTGGTAGTGGTTGGGGTGGGGTTGAAAAACAGCTCATTTCCTGGTTGAAGCGTGCCAATCAGTTCATTCCTGTTAATCCTGTTCTGGATGTTGCTTCTGTTTTTTGAGATTCGAGATCTTGCGAATGTTGACTTAGTAGCCTTAGATCCTACACTTATGTGCCCACAGCTTTGGCTACCAACTCCTGGAGTTGCTAGCCACAGTCATTGTGGGGGCTGTGGACCCCACTATGCGCTGTGCATGTGTCGGTCATGGCTCGCAAATGTGTCGTTGCAGTACCTTGTAATGACTTGGCTACCGGCTCCCAGAGTTGCTCTCCAAACTTGCTCTTCTCACTTCTGCTGTTCAAAGGCTAGAAGTTGGTAGCCCGACAGTCTAAAGAATATGTTTGTTTCTTTGATAAGACTTGCAGCACACCTATAGACTCTAGACTATAATATTGAAGATTGATTCCCTGAAACCTGCAGGGAGAAACTGTGACGGTGAGATTGCCTGTTGACGGCCTCAAGCCCGTCAACCTGGCCATCAACTGCCTGCGATTCCAGGATGGCTCACAGAAATGTTTGGGCGCCTTCATGACTTGGCTGTGCTTGATGTTGGCTTCGAAGTTGGAGCCCGATGATTCTGAAGTGACCAAAGGGCCAGTTGTGACCCTAGCATCTTCTTTGCTTCGGTTGAGAACAATTGTGAAGGGGTCTATGGCAGCTGCCGATGAAATTGACAGCACGATTCATCAAATCGTGAAGCAAAACATTGACAGCAAGGTACAGCCAGTTTCTTCACTGACGTGGGCGTCGATCTTGAGTGCTGTCTCCGACGCTGCCAACTTTGACCAATGCATGGAGAAATACAATCGGCACCCGGAAGTGCAATCTTTCGAGGCCACCAACAGCTCTCCTATCTCATTGGACAACAAGAAGCGCCAGGCTTGGTTTGGGGAATTTTGGATCATATGCAGACCCCAAATTTCTTTTGTAGAGGTTTGGGAATGTTTCAGGAGTAGGCGACGGGTGTTGTGTGGATTTGGTTTTCTATGTAGTAGAGGCTTTGTGTGATTTTACGATGGGTGAAACATTTGGGCCATGAGAAACATTAATAAAGAGACGCTGAAGCGAACCGCCTTCATCAACCTTTGCAACAATTTTCCATAATTGTCCACTATTTTTTGATTGTCCAGGCTGTACGAGGCCTGCTGGAAGCCACTTCGCCGGCTGCCTTCGATGTCCTTACGCAATCCACACATGATGCAGCGTGGGCGCAAGGGCCCTTTGGTGAGGCCTTTGTTGCTTTGCCTTTCATCTATTTAGGGTCAGTGGGCAAATTGGAGAAGGAAATTGGTGGTCCAAACGCATGCCTTGAGTCCATGCCCAACGAGCCCTACGTGACCTTGGATTGGTCTTTGCCAATGAGCGAGAAGGGCCAGATTTACTTCTTCAACCGGGTCCGGTCATCCTTTGACCGCCTCACTCTCACAGTGAGCTTGGCCCAAAAGAAACGCTACCGACAGTCGCCAGAGGAGTTGATGCAAACCAGAAACCTGGTGGTCCTGTTCTCACAGATTGTGGACCACATGCAGACTCGACTACCACCAGACGAAATTGCGAAATGGATCAAAGAGGTCCAATGTGGACCTGGGCGTGACGAAGACCTGTTGCACTTGATCCACATGCGCCCTGCAACTTTCAGCCTGTCTATGCTTCTCTCACGCCAGAATCAGGCGAGGCAAGATTTGCACGAGTTGGAGTTGAAAAAGGTTGAGGCAGTGGAGATTCAGCGGCAAGAAGTCACTGCTGCGCAATGGAAGTTCTTTCAGTCTGCGCTGCAGTCAGACCAAGCTATCATCGACAGAGCTCGTCAGGCGCCAAAGCTGGTCCGCCAACGCCTTCATGCGAAACAAGTTGCTGAGAGGGCCAAGCTCATACAAGCAGCCGAGAAGGCTTGCGCTTCCTACCAGGACAGAATGCAGTGTTGAACATTTGAGGTGTTGAGGAGATGGTTGCTATTGTATGCTATTGTTGTTCTTCGCTTCAAATTTCAACCTGGCCGCGTCCATGTTGAATTCCAGTTTTCATGTTGGGTTTGTGTGGAGGCGGTGTAATTTGTTTGGTCGCACTTTCTGCTAGTCGAGCCTGGGCTAAAGGACAGCAAGGAAACATGTAGCAGCAGCAGCAGCAGCAGCAGGTGTAGGACTAGCAGTAGGAGCAGGTGCAGGGATGAGTAGAAGGTGGTCGTAGTAGAAGTAGAAGTAGTACTGGCTGACATAATGCAACGCTTGACTGAATACAAATGTTATGTTTTTATGTAGTTCAACGCAATTTATGGTAACTCATTGGAATTCAACGCTCTACCGTAAATTCATTGTGCAGTTCTTGTCCCATGCATGTTCCTACTTTTTTTCGTTGCCAGTTACTGTTTTGCCTAGTTTTGTTTGTGTTGCATTTGGAGCATCAGTTGCCAGTAATTGTTGCTTTGTCATGTAGTCAGGTGTTTTCATTTATTATTGGCATTGGTCGCTTGTGGCGTGCTTCTTTCCAGGATGCCTACATGAGAGTGGTGCAGGTTGACAAGATCGAGCTTGCCCAGCAAGAAATCTCGAAGATGAAGATGGAGATTGCATTTTGATCTGTGTTTGGCGTGGTTTCCTGTTCTGTTTTGATGCTTTTTTCGCAGCTACTACCCAAACGACTTTCCTTTCCACGCAGTAAAACTTGGACTGTCCTGGGTTTAAAGCTTGGAACATTTTTTGAGGGAATATCAAACTTTGTCGGGCTTCGCCAATTTGCCAAGGCAACATCTTGTGGAGTTGGTTTGGACAGTGTGGCATGCCTGGGCATTTGTGACTTCAACATGCCAACAGCTCGCCAGAAGCAGGTTTGTGGGAACCTCATCGAGGGAATTTCGATCATCAACAGCTCTGGAAATCCATCCTTGAATTCGACGCTGGCCATTTTTCCGGATTACGCGAGGGACTCATGCCCTCATGGACTATATGATGAGGAGAAGGCTATCATCGAGGGATGTTTTGGGCTGCGGATGCATTTGGACACAAGATTCATAGACCTCCACACTCCGCAGCAACGATCCGAGGGAAAGTCAAGCATGCGAAGGTTCAGCCAAGGAAGAGTCATTGTGAACCAAGACACTGTTGCAGCCAACATTTGGATGAACTCCGAGTTGAGTGTTTTCGGTCGGCCAATCAATGCTGATGAGCAGTCGGCTGGTGCTCCCACCACATTGCTGCCAAAGTCCAGCTCGTTGGTGCTGCCCGAGGGAAGTTCGCCCAACTCGGACCTGAAAATCTCAGAGCGAGTGAGACCAAGTGTTGAGCAGCAGAGCGCCCAGAAGGGTGTTTGTCGTTTTCAGGCGCTCATTGAATCAATGGTGAAGCTAGTCCCGGTTCCTGGCCCTTTGCTCATCGTGAACATCACAGGCTATGTCGAAGAGTGCGCTGCTGCAGCTACTTGGATTGTTTTGAGCACTCTTTGTTTTAATTTTAATGTGTGTAGTTACAGGTATTGATGGTACCTTCTCCCAAATCCATTTCCACTGATCTCAGGCCTTGAACATCAGAATCAAGGGGATGAACGACCCTACCAACTGCAAGTTGGACCCCGCCAAGCTTTACTATTTGAGCCTTCACTCCACCCAGTCCAGCAGTGGCGTGTCGTACGCCAAAAGCAGAGTTAGCAGGGACATTTTGGATGCCTGGTTGGGCAAACGCTTGAGCTTTGATGGCAAGCGCTTTGATGATTCAGCGGTTCAGTTGACAGACGAGGAGACATGTGTTGTTTAACATCTGTTCAGTATTATACAATTTTATAACTAACTAAATAAATAGATAAATATATATATATATGTCATATGAGTTCTGATTCAATCTTTCTGCGTTGCCTGTTTTTAGGAGGGGACATGGTTTTCAATTGGTTTCCCATGAGAGTTGGATTGAATCTGTGTATTTTCAGGAGATGAAGTCTATACCAGGAGCTGAAGTCATTTCTAGCATTGATTCTTTGAAGCTTCAAGTCTGCGTTCGGCAGGGGACGCAGGTGGTCATTCATCCTGACCAGGCTCGTCAGTGGTCGTCCAGTGGTGAATAGATTGCAGCGTTGTTCTCCAAGCTGAAATCAGAGCACGAGGCAAAGTACCTCAATGCCTTGGCCACCGTGATCGCTGAAAGTTCAACCTCTCCGGCATCGACTGCAGCTGCTGTAGTGGAGGCTGAAGATCCTGTGGCCGATGATACGGCTGCGCCTGATGCTTCACCGGCCCCAGACCCGGTGGTATTTACTTCTGAAGAGGAGTTGAAGAAGGCCGACCAAATCAAAGAGCGCTGCGCTTCGGAGATTGCTGGAGTAGAGCTGCTACGTGGTGAAAGTGGCAAGCTCTATATTCTTTGCGAGAAGAACAAAGTCTTGTGCAAATGGAGCGTGCTCGGAGGGTATGGAACTGGCAAGTTTCTCAACAATCACATGACATGATTTGTGTAGTTTCTTTAACCCATGTTGCGTTGTAATTTCTTTTGGCTCGGGGCAGTGTCCATTGCCCCTTGACATTCATTGTTTGTCAGGTTTGTGCCAGAGGGAGATGCTGCCGAGGGAGTGCTTCTGTCGTGGCCAAAGGGCGACTCCACCTTGATCCAGCTGGATCATTCTTCGATCCAGCCTGACCAGAACCATTTCGAGGTGATGAGCGTCTACAGAATGCTGGTTCTGCTGGAGAAGACAAAGAAAGTCACATCATACCGCATCTCCTACTCGACATGCAGCCGAGAAGATCCTGGAGTAGCATCGTCCAGGGACAGCTTCAAACTGACCATCCAAGACAGCCACAAGTATCGCTGCTTGGAAACTCCTGACGGCAAGAAGTGCACATGCAAGAGCTGGTTCAGTAAGTCCGTCAAGCAGGTGGCGTCCAGTGAATTTATTGAGAGCCTGTTCCGCTTCAGATTTGAACGGGTTCACAGCAACATCAAGGTGCAAAAACCTTATGTCATTTTGAGCAGTGCCCTTGAGCTGAAAGGAGGCTGCCCTGTCCAAATTGCTTAGCTGTAGGATCGAAGCTGGCAGTGAGTGCTTTCTGAAGAATGTTGCTTTCAGGCAAATGGATTTCTCAATTTTCGGTTTGCGAATGCTAAGTGTGCAGAAGGTATTCTCTACCAGGAATGATGTTTATTAGGTGGGAAAGCTGTTGATTAGGTGGGAAAGCTGACAGCTTCGTTTTGTCCACCTGTGCGCTCCCACGGCTGGGAGCATTTTGCTGTCCCTTTAGCTGGACTTTCATAGCCTGCGCGCCAAATGTTCGCATTCAATTTTGGTGTCCAAGTTGACCTTGGATGAAAGATGTTTTTTCAAAGACATTCTACCACCTCGCCGGTTTTTTGCGCTCATGATGTTCAGGCTTGTAGTCGAAATGTCGATGCCCGAGAAGCGCAAATTTGAGCCTTCAGGAGGCCCACTAGCCATGGGTCCATCCCAAGAAAGCACTGCTGCTGCTGCTGCTTCTCCAGATGCAAAGTCCTCTGAGTTGAAATCCTCCAGGCCAAAGCTGCGCAGGATGAGCCCTTTGTGTTTGGAAACTTTGAAAACTTTGGAAGAGGATTCCGTTTGGGCTGACGATGACTATGACCCCATGAAGCCGGTGCTGCCGCCTTGGCCTTTGATCAAGAGGGAGGGTGAGATTTTTGCTGCTGCTGACTATGCAACATCCATCAACCATCCAGTCATTTTCCTGAACCGCAAGGAAGATGGGACTTTCGATGCTCCTGATCCGGCTTGGTTTAATTCACCGCAGTTTGATAGTTCGCAGCTTTGTGAGAGTCAAGGGAGCTAGGCTCAGGATCACAGGGCAGTGTTTCTAGACATGCTAGCAACGAGGGGGTGAAGCATAAAAGACAAGCATCTTCGCTTGGCTGTGCGTGAAGGGCTCTTTGCATGTTTCGATTTTCTGTTCCAGAGGCTTTTCCATTCCATGCCACAGTGTTTGTTGCTTTTGTTGCCTGTGTTCACAGGTGATGATGTTCACTCCTGCTTCATGTTCGTACTCCTTGATGCAGTGATGATGTTGGTTTTCACTCAAGCCAATGCAGGCCCTGAGGGCTTTCCAAGTGTAAACTGAGCCATGGAAGACTCGCTAGTAAACTTGCGGAATGAAATTCTAGGCCGGATGCACAGTGATGAGTCAGGCTGGGCATCGCCATCTTACTTGCAGCGTCTGGCTGATGATTCAGGAAGTTCTGCCAATGTCCACGGCAACGTGAAGCCTGCTGCCCTTATGTTTGATTCGCAAGCATCAGATTCTCAATCCGATCCATTGACGATTACCACGCCTGGGCCTGTAGCTGAGCGGATACCTGACAATGGAAGACCTGCGGCCGCCCCAGCTTGTCCGCCTTGCGAGAATGGTGGCCCAATTCAGCTTTGTGGGCAGAATGCTGCGCTGGTTCCTGCCAAGGCGTCGCCGCCGCAACCTGAACCTGTTGTTCCTAAGACTGCTGCGCCGGTTCCTGCCTTCAAAGCGTTGGGATCCGTGCAACCTGTTGGTGAGGAGAAGAAAGCTGCGGCTCCTGCCAAGGCACCACAAGCCCCACAAGCTGGTGGCCAACTTGGTTCCGCGGTTGAAACCGAGGCGGAAGAGATCTTTGCTGAGTCAGAGGAGGAACCATTGCCGATAGAAGAACCCAAAAAGCGCAGTGGTTGCTTGAAGCGCCCAGCCTCCAATGCTTGTTTGAAGCGCCCAGCTGCGGTCCCAGATTCTTCAGTGCAGAAGAAAACAAAACCTGGTGTCGCCAATGAATGCTCAGAGGCTCAGTCTTCCAAGATGCGGTTCCCCAATGCTAACAAGGTCATCAAGGATGAATCTGGCGAATGGGAGGCCTGTTGCAGCCAAACACTATGATTGAGATCTTTTAAATGGTTTGGAATTTGTTTTAGTTTTTTGTTGTTGGGTTTTGCTGAAGTTAGCCTTTCCAAGATTTCATTTGGACCCTGTCCAAAAGGTCTACGAGTTCAAACGAGCATCGGGCAACCTGAAAGGTGAGATCTGGAGGAAAATAGTTCACGTGCCCAGCGATGAAGTTTATCCATCGTTTGCGAAGGCAACGAAAGCAGGCTTTGATGTGTCAAAGCTGCAGATCGAAGCCTGACCATGGTGAGCTTTGAAAGGAAAACAGCGCTGAGGGTGGTTTTTTCTTTGACCGAGATCTTGCTGCTGCACGTTTGTGGTTTGTATCTTTTCGATCAGATTCTCAAACTCATCCAACTTTGTTTTGTAATTTGTGCGGTCAACTAAAACACACGCTGTGTCCATAGCAGCAGATTGCAGTTTCCACGTTGCGCGCAAAACAACAATGACATTGTTTGAATGTGTTCGCGAAAGTGATTCGACTCGACTGGAGCTGGCTGTGCTTGCCTGTGTTTCTTTCATTCCTGTGAGGAGTTTCGGCAAACAGTTCCATCTTGGTTTCTATATTCAAATGCTTCGTGTGTATTCTAAGTTCATGTGCTATGTACCTTCCTTTTGTATCTCCACATTTCTCTTTTTGCTGAAAATATGTTTAACATTTTTTAACAATCACGGCGGAAGTACAACTGGGAAACAAGTAAGACACGCTAAGTAGCGAGCGTTAAATTGTAGACCCACTAGGCTAGGCCAGCAGCCTGTACGCGGAGCGCACCAGTAGCAAAACTCTTTGCGATTCTTCAACCTGCCACTGTCCTTAATGTTTTCTGGAGCGATGCCCCAATTGGAGACTTATTAGGGCCCAAGCCAATTCTCACCCCAAGTCAGGATCACAAAAGCCAGCCCGGCCCGAGTCAGGATTGCAAAATCAAGCTGCCTTGTGTCAGGATTGGCTTGCCATTTAGAAGCCTACCCAAGTCAGGATTGCAAAAAGCTGCCTTGTGTCAGGGTTGGCTTGCCAATCACAAGCCCTGCCCAAGTCAGGATTGCAAAAAGTTGCCTTGTGTCAGGATTGGTTGGCCAATCACAAGCCTGCAACAAGTCAGGATTGCAAAAAGCTGCCTTAGTGTCAGGATTGGTTTGCCAATCATAAGCCTGCCCAAGTCAGGATTGCAAAAAGCTGCCTTAGTGTCAGGCAAAGTAAGGCTTTTCCCAATTTAGAGTTGCCGAGCAAAATGGCAAAAGCCAAGTTCCATGAAACAACCAAGTTCCATGACATTGGTTTGAAATCTGCACCTCGAAGTTCACAAAGTGCTGCACCTGCCACGAAATCTGCACATGCAGGTTCACAAAGTGCTGCGCCTGCCACGAAATCTGCACTTCAAGAGACAAGCGAAAACTCTAACCACAATGGAGGGACGATTCGAGCATGATCCGACCATGACCCGAGACCGTCTCGCAACCGTCGTTCCGCAGAGCTAGACTTGCCAGGTTCGAAGCCACCGGTTCTATTGAAAAATAAAGAAAAATACAGCATTTCGTGCGTCCGCTATCTCTCGAAAACGCATTTTGTATTGCACGTGCCACGAAATCTGCACATGGAGGTTCACAAAGTGCTGCACCTGCCACGACATCTGCACATGGAGGTTCACAAAGTGCTGCACCTGCCACGAAATCTGTACATGGAGGTTCACAAAGTGCTGCACCTGCCACGAAATCTGCACATGGAGGTTCACAAAGTGCTGTGCCTGCCACGAAATCTGCACATGGAGGTTCACAATGCGCTGTGCCTGCCACGAAATCTGCACCTGGAGGTTCACAAAGTGCTGCACCTGCCACGAAATCTGCACATGGAGGTTCACAAAGTGCTGTGCCTGCCACGAAATCTGCACCTCGAAGTTCACAAAGTGCTGCACCTGCCACGAAATCTGCGCATGCAGGTTCACAAAGTGCTGCGCCTGCCACGAAATCTGCACTTCAAGAGACAAGTGAAAACTCTAACCATAATGGAGGGACGATTCGAGCATGATCCGACCATGACCCGAGACCATCTCGCAACCGTCGTTCCGCAGAGCTAGACTTGCCAGGTTCGAAGCCACCGGTTCTATTGAAAAATACAGCGTTTCGCGCGTCCGCTATCTCCGAAATCTGCACATGGAGGTTCACAAAGTGCTGCGCTGCTGCACCTGCCACGAAATCTGCACATCGAGCTTCACAAAGTGTTGTGCCTGCCACGAAATCTGCACATGGAGGTTCACAAAGTGCTGCACCTGCCACGAAATCTGCACATGGAGGTTCACAAAGTGCTGCGCCTGCCACGAAATCTGCACCTCGAAGTTCACAAAGTGCTGCACCTGCCACGAAATCTGCACATGCAGGTTCACAAAGTGCTGCGCCTGCCACGAAACCTGCACTTCCAGAGACAAGTGAAAACTCTAACCGCAATGGAGGGACGATTCGAGCACGATCCGACCATGACCCGAGACCGTCTCGCAACCGTCGTTCCGCAGAGCTAGACTTGCCAGGTTCGAAGTTGAAAAATATAGCATTTCGTGCGTCCGCTATCTCTCGAAAACGCATTTTGTATTGCACCTGCCACGAAATCTGCACATGGAGGTTCACAAAGTGCTGCAC